ATATATATATATATATATATATATATATCGCCTAGGACCTTTAAGATGGACAAAACACCCTTATGAGAGAGACTAGTTTAATTAAAAGCAAGCCCTTAAGGGAAATCTTTCTAAGTTGCCATGACAGTGATGTGAAGGAAACGTTTATCTCATTCATACAAAAATTTTCGTTTGTAGGTTTGGCTTGCAGGAAGTATGTCTAAACCTTTCGGGTCATTCATACGTGAAACTCCATTAGTAGGAAGCAGCTATAAGGATACAGTTTTGTCGCCGTGCTTGCAGTTCGTCACTTATGAACGAGGACTTGAGCTTGACCGTGAACGGAATCAATCAGCACACCTTGGTAGCTACAAAAACGGACGAGAACCTAAATGTTTAAAAAACAACTAGTAAAACTGGCCGTTCACGCACAGAAATTCCCGAAAAGACATGCTCATTCCACTTCTAAGTAATAAGTGCATCGCCCCACTCAAAACACAGCACAAATCTTTGTCGAACAGGATACCGGTCCTCGTAAAACTAGCTCTAATTGAGTCTTATGTGAGTTCGTGATCCAGCTAGCACACAACTGTGGTTGCACTGCACACCACACTGTAATCAATCTTGCGTTTGCGTGCCAGTGCCAGTGCGTGCATGTGTGTCGCACATGTGTAAGTATCTCGTTAACAATTCGTTCGTTCTCTGCATATCTATCCATACGCAGTAACTCACAGGCTACTGGAGACCAAGTGAGATACGTCGAAGGACATAGACGGGCTTCTCTGTATTCCGAAGCGTCAGAAAACCCGGACACTACTCAGCCAAGGCCCTCAGCCCTCTTGCGGATGGCCGAACACAACATTGAACATGACGTGGAGAATCATCATCCAGAACCCGCCATATCGTCAATAAAGGTCGACGTTCAAGGTGAGTAGAAAGAATGTTTCACTATTCCCAATAGTATTTTCCGTCACATCAGTAACACTGATAATGATTTCGAAAGTGTATCTAAGGGCTTAGTGAATATCGATTAAGTGATTCAGTTAAATCCAGGTCGTTTTAGTCATCGAAAAGTGACGGGCATTTTTGTAAGTTACGGCTTCTGAATACGCACGAGATGCATAATAAGTTAGTTTGCTTTGCTGTGGCACCTCATGCTTTCAGCAGGAGATTTTGGTGTTACGTACCGTGAGTTACTGATCGCTTCCCACCTCTTCGTGAACAGCAACTTTAGATGGATTATGACGCAGCACTTTTCAAAGCAACATTTTCGGGAGTTTATGAGATAATTCCTCGATAGAGGTTGAAAAATGCTAACCGAAACATCTGCTTTGGTATCATGGAGATGAAGTTTGGTTTGTATTAGGGCCATTTGACAGTTTTCCCAAAGGATAGGATTCCCTGAAGCGAATGTTTCCTGTGTTCAGTACACTTCCTTCTCAACGGTTCACACGGATGTGTAAAAGCAATATGGTCTATATGTTTCTCAGTTACTCACCATTTTAATCCCGGTCACAAAAAGTGCTGAGTTTCCTACCTAGCTGAACGAACATATGAGGCACTAAATAATAAGATATATTATCAATAAGATTTGACGAAAACAATGGTGCTTATGGGGGCCTTCGGAAATGGATGGCTTCCACGCACTGCTTCCTCTGCTATTCATTCACACTAGGTTTGATCGGAAATTCATTTTCTCAGTGAATACTCGCGGCTGCGAATGTAAGGCTGCCTTATTGGCAAAGTTGAACCGAATCTTGCCATGACGGGTTTGTCAGCTTTGGCCAAACTTTTTTCGGATTGACAGTGAACTAAAAAATATCGAGGCCAGTACACAAGACCTTTCTACTACCAATTTGAGGGGGATAAACCATTTATGGCTCAGGATGTATTTCTTGTCTGTTTCGGCGTGATTTCATTCCTCGAGGAGGAATAATCATAGGAGGGATTTCGTTGGCTTCATGCTCCTCTGCTTGAAAGAGGTGGTTCTCGCTGCGTGGTTGTTTCGAAGGTGAGGGATGCGCATCTTATGTCTCGGTAAGACTGCAACTATAGGCCGGACACTCCATTAACACCACACATATGAGCATAGTTTTGAGAAAAGGCGAGAATCCATTTTTTGCTATGTTGGTGTTGAACAGTATGTAATATGCCATAATATATGTGTTATCGGAGAAACAATTTGAGTAGAATGATGCAAGGACTCTCCCGTTCATTATATGATTTTGGTGTTCTATTTTAGTATCAGCTGTGGGGTATTCTCAAACACCAATGGTATTAGATAAATGAAAGTCCAGGTAGTCCACATCTGTCAGGTTTTGAACGCGTTATACACTAAAGTTCGACTGATGATTCTTGACCTGTTAGTGCGGCTATTTGGATTTTTAAGTGTCACATAACTTCCCAGAGACGGAACCTCTCTATGAGGACAAGGTTGCTTTGTCCGTTGTTTTAGCACTCACACGCGTATTCGGTGCTCGGTGGCTGAAATGAAATCAAAAGAATTAGACAGTGAACATAAGAAAGTTGATGGATTTCAAACCCAGGAGCCAATACCAACGAGTCGAAACCTGTTTGCAAAGGATCGATTCGTGACCTACAACACCCGTTTGTCACACCCGGGTCGGACTCAGTAAATATATGGCTAATTTGCTAATTTTATTTCTAATGACATTGCAGACGTGACCTATCGAACACATATTGAGCCGAATCGTTCTGAGGCCTAAGCGTAGAGCATGGCTGTCTGGAACCAACGAATCATACTTTGTAGACTGAAGCATACGTGGATTGAACTGATATCACACTCCCGCAATGTATCAGGATGGACAATGATCGAGTTTACTTTTGAGTCTGTAAAGTGATGTTCATCTCTAGCAACGTCACTGACAATACTTTGCCATAAAAAAACAGTAGATAGCGAAGAAGTGGAAAATTTTTCGCTTACAAATCGTAAATAAAGGTTTCATATAGTTTTAAAACGGTAACCAATTCATTTTTACTCAATTTGCATATTGCTGAGTGACTGTAATAAGAGAAGAACTCTGGTTTTCGGAGAGGTTTGGTAACAATCGGTAGATTTATTGCTGGGCAACGTTTCGCTTTTGACAGAAAAGCTTTGTCGGGTCAAGTGACCAGACATGAGGTTGGTCGAGATCTAAGGAGAAAGCCAAGTCAAGCTAAATCTCTGTTCAATGCCGGCCGAAGGATTTTGTGTGTTAAAGTGGATGAGCAGGTGTTAGGCCGATGGTGAAACCTGAATGGTCTGCGTCCAGCCTAAGTTTTAGTTCTTTTGGTTATTGATAAAACGGAATAGTGGAACTGATTCTGTGAACAACAGTACCCTCAAGGTTTTGCTTATAGGGACGAAAGGGACATTTTAACAGGATCATTTTAAAGACAAATGTTCAGATCACATCCTTAGAGTTACTAGAAAAACCGGAGTCCCAGAACATTTCTCAGTTGAACCCGAAAATCTTTCGGTGACGAAAACGGAAAGCTATCTTGTGTGAACAGGATCGTTTGTGACTTGATTACGTCATCAGCTATATTTCAACCCGGCGCTGGTCTCACGTGGAATGTTTCGTGCATCTGAGACTGAGTTACCAATTAGGATTCAGACATCCAATGCTCATAAATTCAAGCCTAAGAAGGGAGCAGCTTAATTGCAAAAATTTCTAGTTCAAAGTTTCAACTGCACTTTCACAATGCTTGAAGTGTCAGCAGTTACAACAGGCTAAACCTCCCAATATGCACAGGATTGTAATATGCCTTGAGATGATATTTAGTTTGAGGGTGTTAGGCATCCATAAGAACTGGTTATGTAGTACATTAAGACAGTCTTCACGATGACATTGCACCTCGTGTTTAAACATTGACACTGGCAACTTACCTAGAGCACTCTGAAAATTGAGGTGACTGTAGGTTGTCGGCGAACACCATGCATAATCACAGACCTGAATCAATTCCCCAACTTGCATCTGGTAATCCTGGCGTCTCGTTCGAGGTGCAGTTTATGGGGCAAACATTTTAAGTTGAGTCATCCAATGAACAGCCAGTCAACATAATTGTCCTACTCTGATTGGACAAATTTGCCCTTGTTAATTTTCCGGCTGATGATTAAATGTTCCCGTGGCATGATTGGTTGGTCATCCTAGTCAGGTGTGCCGCGTTTCCGTACCCCCACGATGGTCAGTCTCCGAGTCTTGAACAGTATCGTATAGGGCGTTTCGATCCTTCTTTATTGGCAGTTAAGTCGTTAGTATAAGGTTCTAGAAGAACGAATGTAACAGGGTCGAGGAAAACTCAGTGCTTTGAGGCTAATAGCACTCATATGCGCTCGCATCGAGAAGAGGTTCTTAAATTTCCAGTGACCTTAGTCTTACCAAGTACCAACAGCTTGTGAAAATAAGGAGTCATAATGAACTGCTGTTTAGTTCAAGAACAAGCATCCACATGAGCAATCCTTAAATTGTCCAATTTTTTAGCCGATTCCAATAGATATCGCCATCGATCACAATAAAATGGATTCTTTTACCCTATATTGTATTTTCGAAGTAGGCTTTTGGTAGGGAAATCGACCGAATTTGCTGGATTTAACCACGTTTTGAATTGAAGGTTTCGTCAAGTTCTAGACATGAAAACAGTGTTGTAGTTCTGAGGCTATCGGAATAGCATGGGTGCATTTTGGGCAACAAAAAAAACACGAAAATTTGCGTGTTTTGTACAACTTCAACAAAACCATCTCACCACTGAACCAAATATATTTTAAGGCCTCATTTGCATCGTAGATATGCTTGGAAATTATGGGTTATTTTATGACAGAAGAGAATACCATCCACGGCCACTGGAAGTCTTTCAAAGTGATGCATAGTTGTGATGAACTCACCTGATAGACTGAATACTTTTGGCGGCATAATCTACAGCCAACCGAAACTAAATGCGCTAAAGTCTAAAGTCTAAAGTCTAATCATGCTAGTGGAAGTGGATCTTCATTCAAAACTGAGAAGTATTCAAATGGAGGAAGAGCAAAAAACCCAACAATCGCATATTGTTTCCACTGTGTCAGGTAGGCAGAACATTTTCTCAGATCAAATCAAACGTTTTTGAGAAAGTTCACATCAGTGATATCACAGAACAATCTAATTTGGTGATTCCGCAAAGGCACAAGTGGATGTCAAGTTACTGAAGTATTCTAATATTGCTCGACGGTGTGTACTACACTTCGTCGGACGAACGACGCAACAACATTCAGAAGGTTCAGTGTTTTGTGCAGAACGCTATCGGGAACACGTAACTGGATTATTAATTCATTGCAAACACGTTCACATGAGTCGCGGGTTGACTAGAAACATCTGTCATTGATCATGCGCACTGCCCTGTTACAAAACCCTCTACGTAACTAAATGAGCACTTAAACAAAGGCGGAAAACAAGTTGGTTTTCACACGTCGAAATGACAAGCATTTCGGGTGTGAGAGCCAGCACGTTCCCATTGAAACAGACATGTGGAAGAGTGTTTGCTTTCATTTTTTTGTGCGCATCGTTGAGCAGCGCAAAGGAATGTTTAGGCTAAAGGTTTGCCAGAAAAGTGAACTAGCAAATCTCACTTACTTGATGTAGCTGGTTGAAACTCCAGGTGCCATGGTCCTGACTCTTGGTACGGTCCACGTTGTAGCAAGAAATTACCCAAATGCAACCCATTTTAGTTGAAACAGCGTTGTTTACTTTCATAAAAGTTTACCGACAACCAATGTGATGGCTTCTGCTTCGTAGTAAGATATTTCTCTAACTTTGTTGATTGACTTGACGTGACCAAAACGTGATATTTACACAGTAAAATTGATTATAAAGATACCGAATATTTCTGTCAGATCACTTAAAGCGCTATTCTATATGTCACCCCGGGAAGGCGAGTAGGTCTCTTGAGTT